GCCCGGCACGGCACGGCAGCCGGGTGAGTACGTAGTGCGTGACACATGCACCTGAACAAAAACCAAAGACGGAGAAATGAGTCGTTACCCCCCCCCCCCACCCCCAATCACGTGGTGGGTTTTTGTTTGTTGCTCGTTTTGTTTGTCATCTTCCTTTCATTTTCAGTTTGACCAAGATTATTTTGGTAGCGTTGCTAAATTTAGAATCTGCATTCGTTCAGTTGGTCCGTATTGCATTCCAATACAGTATTAGGGGACGAATTCGATGCAAATGGAAACAAAAATAATTTTTTTCACATATCAGCCTGTAATTAGTTGTTGTTTTTTTTCCCGAGATCTCGCCTTTTTTTTTTAGTAAACTAAAGACTTCCCGGGAAATGTTCCCGTCCAGGGTCCAAACATTAAGCACGAACCTTAAAATCGTTTTTTTTTTTTTAATTCATTGATAGAAAGTACAATAAAACAATTAGAAAAATCAATCTTTATAGTTTATTTCAGGTTGTAATATATTTTAAATTAAATTAACTTTATCCCGGGATTTCCCGGAAGCTCAGCATGAAGGAAACTCCCTTTATTGGCGGGATAAGTAAGAACCCGGTAATTGAGAAACACTAATTATAACGTATACAGAAAAGTTTCATAAGCTAATGACGGTATACAGGACAGTTTCATAAGATAATGGCGGTATACAGGACAGCTTCATAAGATAATGACGGCATATAGAACAGCTTCACGGGATAATGACGGTACATAGAACAGCTTCGTAGGATAATGACGGCATATAGAACAGCTTCACATGATAATGATGGTATATAGAACAACTTCACAGGATAATGATGGTACATAGACCAGCCTCATAGGATAATGACGGTATATAGAATAGCTTCACAGGATAATGACAGTACATAGAACAGCTTCATAGGATAAAGACGGCATATAGAACAGCTTCAGAAGATAATGACGGTATATAGAACAGCTTCCTAGGATAATGACCGGTACATAGACCAGCTTCATGGGATAATGATATGTAGAACAGTTTCATGGGAAAATGACGGTATTAAAAAAAAATATATACTAGGAACTGGATGCTAGGTTTTCCCATACTTCAATCTTTTCTTATGCCATGTAGCTAATTAACCGCTAAGGCCATTTAACGCATCCAGATCATGAATCCTGGACTTAGATCCTGGTGTATTAAGGAGCCGCTCAAACGGTGCTGTTGGGGTATAGGGGTGGGTTCTGGGAGGAGTGAGGGGGTTGCAAAACCCCAGAGGGAAACAACTCAAAGGCAGACCTAGGCCTGGATGGTTGATGTGGGGGAAAAGATCTGCAGCAGTTGGGAATCCCAGCATGGAAAAGAAAAGCGTAAGTTGGGTTCTGAGTGGAAGGAAGAGGTGAGGTGGGCCAAAGCCCTAAATGGGACGGAGCGCCACTAAGAGGGAGGGGGGGGGGTTGGATGGATGGATGGGTTCTGGGAAAGATAAATTAATAAAGTTTTAAAAAGCTGTCCACTGGAGATGACAACTGACTGTTCAGAGGTCGTAGAGTTGAGCTCTTGAACAAATCGCTCTCTCTCTCTTTTTTTTTTTTTTTCTTTTTTTTTTTTTTTTTTTGTTTCATTGGTTCTCTCTTTCCAACCCTCCACCTCAAGATGCGCAGCGCCGTCAGCGCTCGGTGCGTCTTTGTAAGCGTTTATGTCCCTTTGTTAGGTCCGTCTCCGGAGGTGTTTGAAGGTTGATCACGAGGCGTGAAGNTTTCTTAATCTAACTGAAAAAAAAAAAAAAAAACAACAACAAAAAAAAAACAACAACAAGACATCCATTGTTTTACTTTATAATAATTGAATATCCTGACCGCAATTCAACACACATATCTCTCTTACACCTTCCTCGCTGTAGGGTAAGTGTCACCAAAGGCGGACCGCGGCTCCACACCCCTTCCCCTACGCCCCTGTATCCAGGATCATACACCCTCCGACGTAACGGTATGAAGAAACATCTCTGGAAAACCTGTTGACCATAACAAACAGCTTCTGCACGGTAAACTCGGTCAAGTAGAGGCGTAGCGTGCGACGCCAGTGCTGGGCAGACCAGCGTATCAGGTCTCATTGAGTTTTTTGCCGGGACAGTTCCACACATATTTATGGAACGGGGGTTCGTTGGCCTCAAGCCGACTAGGAAAACACTTGGCGACTTTCGGGATCTCACGCGACAAACTGCGACAGTATCTCACCGAGAAATGAAACGATACCACCATACACACGGGCCCATGATGGCCTGGACGCTCCCAGGCACGCTGCTGGGGTTTATTTTATGAATGTCGATTTTTTTTTCCTTGAATTTAATTTACTTTGTCGTGACGATGCACAATTAAATATTTAAACTTCCTTGAATTAGGAGCTGAACGAAGGATTCTGTTTTACACCCAGTCATGAATTAATAAATTATTACCGGTCCCACGTTCAAATGTCTGTCAAGTTCGGCTGTGAATTTACGGGCGATTTTCTAAGAATTGATCAGTATACTAACGACAGAGGCTTGTTGGTTAAATGATCCACGACATGTACAAAAGGTCGGACATAGCCAGTGGGGCCACTCGAATGTCCCCGAGGTCTGCCACAACTTTATGTTGCGAGGGTGCATACCAGAATTTATCTCTTCAGCTTTTCCGAAGCAACCAGAAGTCCCCTAGTCAGAAAAGGCCCAATAACGATAATAGTAATAGTTTAGAGCGCCAGAATACTGCCGGTAAAGCCAGTGAGCCGCCCACTCATGAGCATATGTCCACACCAACCGTGTGGGCATCGGAGCGGCACGTTAGATAAATACAGACATCTGACCCTACGCCACACTTATGATATGATGGGATTGACCGGTGGTCCTCCATTCAGAATGAGCAGTTCTTGGTTCAGCCCTACATTGGGCTTGAAAGTTAACCAGTTACATTAATCTAAGAATATTTAATTAATTTAAAACATATCCATTTTATAAAGAGTATATTAGAAAGATTGTGTATGAATTATCGACCCTAACGCTAAAGTATATTAGAAAGATTGTGTATGAATTATCGACCCTAACTCTAAAGAAACAGATTTGAAGTATTCATACAATAATCTTGGTACTACATAAGTATGTGTATGTTGTATGTTACAAGCAAGGCGCTGAGAAACGCGACCACGTGATAATAGAGACACGCATGCACACACACACATGCACAATCACACACCCAGTGGCCTTATGCACACACTCAGTAGCCTTATGCACACACCCAGTAGCCTCATGCACACACCCAGTAGCCTCATGCACACACCCAGTAGCCTCATGCACACACCCAGTAGCCTTATGCACACACCCAGTAGCCTTATGCACACGGTTAGCGTTCTTGTCCTTAGAGGGGTTGGGGGTCATCTATAGATGACGTCACTCGTCTGTGGTGAGAGGTGGTCACGAATTTGTAACCCTATATGTGACAATGAGATCTAATATTCGATACCAAAACATCAGTGAGTGTGACCGTTTAGGGAGTTGGGGGGAGGGGAGGGTCAACAGTCGGACAAATAAGCTAGTCTCTATTTATGGCTGGGCCCTTAAATAAACCACGTTTAAGACGCCTTATACAATCACTGGTCTAAAATTCCGTGAAAAGCATGCTATTTTCATCTTCACGATACCAAGACTACTAAACTAAAATACCTATTGAAACACGCTATGCGTCAAAAATTTCTTTGAACGCAGAAGATACCCTGACGCTCGCTGTCCAAACATTACGTGTCCTAACAGAACTGTTCGCAGTATCAGGGCAATCTCAGATTATCTTAGGATATTGGGCCTACATATGGTGCCAGGGGAGGATCTGGTGTCAAATTGTGGAGGGGCACTTCACAGTAAAAATATACATATACGCCACTGTGACCATGGGCGCCCGCAGAAAACTTTCTAGGGGGGGGGGCAAAAATATCGATTAACTTTCCAGGGGGGGGGGCAAATTTTTTTTAGTAATGTTTTAATTTTAATATAGTTTTAATTTACTGTAGCGTATTTGTATGGTGNTGTACCCAATCAACCGGGGGGGGGGGGGGAGAAGTGCTTCACCTTGCCCCTACCTGCGGGCGCCCATGGCTGTGGCTTACTATAATTTTGGCTATTTGTGAACACATGGTCGCGTGTTTGAACACATGGTCGCGTGTTTGAACTCGTGGTCGCATGTTGCTCCGCTCGGGGGTGAAACCTACTTTCAAAAGATACAAGGAAATTGGGACATAACTCTACACCTGGACTGACCCAGAGTCGACGAAGAAAACAGAAATCCTTTATTTTAGGGACTAAACGCTGGGGATACCGAGCCTGAGATGACGAGAAATGAATTCTGGGAAGGGAAGGAAACTACGCGGAGGGATATAGAAACGCTTTAAAAAAAATTCCTAAGTACTTTCAACGTTTAAAAAAAAAAAAAAAAATTATGTCCGTGTCCCCCACCAGTCCACACCTCCCTTCACAAACCCCCACCCCCCTCCACACCCTTCAAAAAAAAAAAAATCATACTATCACTGATGTTTACACAACAAGCCAATAAAATTTCCATGTAATGTATTATAATTCGAGCTATTATTTTTAGATCCAAATTTACCTACCGAGAAAAAACAGAAGTGGATAACTCCGTATTTGTCGAGTGTTTGTTTACGGGAGTTATGGAACTATTTCAACGCGTTACGTAACCTCTCTTACAGAATGGAAAAACACCAGTGCTGACAGTTGGTAGTTACCTCTCCCTTTTTTTTATGTGATATGTCACGCGACTTCTTTCACAATCGTGCTGATTTAAGATAAACATAATTAAAAAGGTATTCTGCTTAATAACTCCATTTCCACCGATACCAGTTTTTTTAAAATTGAATGGCGTATCAATATCTATTTCCGCATATCTTACTTTGTTAAACCCATTTCGTGAAACTAAAAAGGCCCACTAAATTATTTTTGCCAGATAAAAGAACCAAACCTATGCCAAAACTGCGACGCTTGAGCGAGAGGGGGGAAGTCCCTTTGAAAGGCCGTGTAGCCGTAGTGGTAAAACAAAATGAGAGACCGGGCCAGCACACAGCGCACGTTTGTGCGTCATTCTCACCGAGGGGGGAAAACCCAGGCTTTTTTCAGCGTTATGCGTTTGACCGAGTTCCACGCACCAGCCCAGCCAGCTCTCACTTTAACTTTAACTTTAGAATTTCCCAAGTCCCTCGCTCTATGTCATTTGCATATAAAAGAGAATCGGGCTTGCTTATCGATTCATTTTGAAAGCTGAACTTGGACTTAACAGTAAGGAGTATCTTCTCATTGATAAGTGAACATACACATTGCTTGGACATTATAAGCCGGGTTACAAAAATTAATATCTCGGTAAGTCATGTGATCTTTTAGTTTTATTCTTTGAATTGTGTTATGAACATTTAAGCGCCGAATCTTGTGATGGGCGTAATCAGATAGTTCCATTCGCGACTTTCTCAATTTTATAATAGTGACATAGGCTATTTAAATGAATGTGATTTAATTTTAATTTTTTTTTTTAAAAAAGGAGATTTAGAATATAGCACCAGTTAATAAAATGTATCGCTGATCAAGAAGACACAAAATCATTTACTCTATATTTTAACGAAAATGAATTTTAACTTAATAAAGACAAGATGAGTTCCCTTAAAATAATTAATGCATTGCTATCTATATGGTCTATAGGCAGGCCCGGTTTAACCATTAGGCGAACTAGGGCGGCACATTTTTAGAGGGCGGCAATATTAATTAAATAATTAGTTGCCGTGGGGGGGGGGGCGCAGTGCGACAGGTTTGCCGAGGGTGCCAAATACTCTGGCGCCGGCCCTGATTATAGGCTGTCTATAGGCCATGTGTAAAATTTCATAATATCGTAAATAATTTTTTTATTAAATAATTTAAATATTATTTACAACGAGTTTGTCTACAAATTTGTGCAAAATATGTGCTTATTTACTTCTGCTATTTAAGTTGTATCAACTTATAGTTTGATTACTGTTATTATTATATTTTCCCTGTTAAACTTCAAGCCTTTAAATTTAAACTATAATTAAGACGATGATTACTATAGAATCAGGCGGTAACGACAGTATTTGCTTGATTTAAATTTAAACTGACTGTCTTTCACACGACATCTCACCATCATGTTGATTTAATGATTCTTCAGTGTTTATCGTACGCTGGTTGGAATGACCGAGAAATCTATATTTAGATCATTGCATTGGTCTTTGTTAGAGCACACAATAAGCCTGGGGTTAATGTGGTTTAGAATAACATCAATCTACATAGCTGAGGTCACTACCACATACACAAACTAGTTGGTTTTCTTCTATTGTTTGTGAACCCAAACTTTCTGCGGATGCTCAGATGGCTCTATTATTTGATGGGTTCTTGAGGAAATGAAGTTTAAACTAGCCAGTGTGCAGAAACGTCATTTCAGGTTTTTTCAGGCGGGGGGGGGGGGGGGAGGGATCGACACCCCCCCCCCCCCCCCGCTTGTTGAGTTGTTTAATTACTGAAGGTACTACAGTACATAGGAATTTAAATCATCCAGGTTGGGGGGAGGGGGGTGCAAATGCCCAACCCAAAATGACGTCCCTGCCACTGAGCTACAAACTCTTACCAATGCATGACGTCCCTGCCACTGAGCTACATACTCTCACCTATAGTCCCCTCAACATTATACACTATCATGAACACATTTCTTCTCAATGACGTAATTCAACCTTTATTCTAAAAATCTGCCCTATATATAAAGTATGACTCAATGCTCCGGATTCCGTCGATGTCAGCATTTATTTTCAAACCAAGTTTTCCAACTTACACCCTGTAATAAAATCCGTACAATCTTATAATAGCAACATTAACATAAAAGTTATGTGTGCATAAAAGTTGACTCTTCGTAGTAGTAATGTTTATTTTTATTTCTGTCTACAGGACACGAGCTAGAAGCCCCAACACAAAATCATTGACATCATGTTCAGATGTAAAGAGCACAATCAAGGAGGCGTCCACTTAGTGGGCTTGAAGCCTCCAGACGTGACCATGACGTCTGTGGACGAAGAACGCATCGACTCCTTTTGTGACTCGGGTGTAGCCTCAATGATTTCCATAGAAAGCCTCTCCAACATGGGCGTGGAGTGCAGCCTCCCAAGCGTCAAAGAGGCGCCAGAAGAATCTGAAAGACTCAACTCCATCTCCAAAGGTTTTGATAAGCTGAGAATTGACAATTCGCAACAGTCCATGCCGAGCCGCGATGAAGAATCTGGATTTTACAGTTTGCATGGCACCGAAACAGCCACAGACTCTGGCAGTTTTCGCGGGTCTGGATATGAATATTCTGTGTCCCCATCGGTTCAAGAAGACAACAGAACATCCATAATTGTCCCAGCGTTACAGAGAATAAGGCTGTTTGAAGGTGACAGGGACGGTGACAATAAGCTACATATCAGCATACTTCAGGGCGATTCAAAACTCTCCAATCTCCTCATCAACCTCGCCCCCGATTACACGTGGTTGAACTTAAGCAACCTCCTTCGTCAGACGCCGCTGCATCTTGCCGTGCTGACCAACCAGGCCGCTATTGTGCGGCGGCTGTTGTGCGCAGGGGCCGAGGCAACCGCACAGGACAGAGACGGAAACACAGCACTGCACATAGCCTGCAGGGAGGGTTACGAAGACATTGTCAGGCACCTGTTAAGGCCCGTCACGTACAAAGAGACCTGCGAGAACATGTACGACATTCCATTCCAGAGACTGCCCCAAGACATGAACGTCAGAAATTATGAGGGCGAGACGTGCCTGCACATAGCCGTTCGCCACGGCCACCCCAGCATAGTCAATCACCTGCTGGATGTGGGAGCGGACATCAATGTAGGCGATGGCAAAAGCGGGCGGACGGCGCTGCACATAGCGTCGGAGTTGAACAATGTGGACTTAGTCAAACTCATCTTGTACAGAAGTGATGCTAAGGTCGATGCCAGAAACTATGCCGGCCTCACACCAGTCCAGCTGGCGTACGGCAGGGGTCATAAAGACAGTGTTAACGCCATCTGCAGGCATACTGGAGTGTACAGTGAAGTTTCATTGAGTGACAGCTCCGACGCCGATGATTATTCAGACGAGGAAATGTATTCGGATTCTGATTAAAACACATTTTTTTTTCTACATGAATTGATTAGTGGGAATGTGAGCCAAAGAGAATGTAAAAACTTCCGGGAATGCAAACTTTGGAAAAATGTTAGTGAGGGTGCTATTGAACGATTGTGTTTGCAATTGTGCGGTTGAGAACACAGAAAAATATAGTATTGTAAATTATAATTGTCAACTTTTTGCGTTGGCATTGACATTATTGACCCCTGACAATCCCATCTGTTAAAGTTAAAGAGGTTATCTGAACAATGATACCTTATGAATTATAGAAACCAAAAAAAAAAAACAAAAAAAAACCACATATATTTTCTAGGCCCAATGGTAGTAAATACTGTATTTATTTTGAACCCTAATTGTCCTAATGTGTTTGCATAAGCAACTATATGTATTTAAAATGTCCATTTTTAACAATCTTTAACTTTAATTTATCGATGCCTTGGTTTTCAAGGGGGAGCAACTATGGATATATTTTTAAAACTAAAAAGTAGGATTACCTTTCTGGTCTTACTAAAGGAATCACTAAAAAAAATACATTTGAATTTTTTTTTTTTTTAAATATGTATATTTGTGAATGAAAATATTTAATAGATTGAGAGGTGAAAGTGATTAATTTAAAACATTCCTTAATTAAAATGTATTTTTCAAAGTAACTCTTGTTATCAAAGTGCAATGACAAAAATAGGCCCATCATGTATGACAACCCCCCACCCCACCCCCACCAAATCTTGGATGTATGCACTCCCCTCTCTTTTTTTTTTTCTTCTTCTTCCTTCTCAGGAATTTTCTCTGTCTGAATATCAGTGTTGTGATTTTCCTTTCTCTTTTAACAGTGGGAGCGAACCATTAAGTATTTCTAACCAACGTTGTAATTTATGACTTAGTAACATATTCAGTTTGTACATATATGCACTGTGCAGTGGTAATGTTAACTCAGGCGAGTACTTACCTACCATAGGGTGGAGACTTGTGATCATTGGATTTTCTTTCAGTAATTTTAGTTTTTTTTTTTTATTTAACAAAAGAATCGGAAATAATCATGACAAAATGGCTCGAATTCTCTTTAAAAAATCCAGCAACAATGACAAGTGTAACAAATAAAAAAAAATTATAATAACAGATCAACCTATTTGTCTTAACTTATTCAATGTTATTTTTTAAGGTGTTGAAACAATTTTATTAAAATTAAAAAAAAATAAAAAATCTTATCTGGTATGAAATGAACTGATATGTTATCTTATTTATTGAATTGTGTAATTTGTAAATATATATATATATATATTCTTGTGAACAATAAAAATAAATGTCTATTTTACTTGACTCATGAATTGCTTCCATTTCTTTTTCAACACATTTTATATTCTGATAAATATAATTCGTTTTTCATTCTAGCTACATTGAATTGTCAGTACAAAAACCTGCCTAATTTTAATGTTGTGTATAGTATAATGATTACACTAGATTCAAGCTAGTTAATAAAAAATAATTAGATATTGCGGTGCCATTGTGCACTTTATTAGGAGATAACTGTTGATTGATCACTATTCTACTCTTCAGCAGCTATCCCATTTGAGGGCCAATTAAACAAAATTAAAAAATTAACACATTCTTGAATTTTTTTAATCATTTGAATTCCGGAGAATGGTTATGCAAGCTTACTAAACTTAAACTTAGGATGGTTATGCAAGGTTTCTAAACTTTAACATATAATGGTTTTGCAAGGTTTCTAAACTTTAACATATAATGGTTATGCAAGATTTCTAAACTTTTACATATAAAAGGTTATGCAAAATTTCTAAACTTTAACTTAGGGTGATTCAAGATTTCTCAACTTTAACTTACTTAAAGTTAAAGGAGTTAATATGGTCGAAGGCTATGAATTAATTTAAGAAAATTACCAATTAATCAAAATATTAAAAAAATGAATCTAATCAACACCCAAGGAAACATGTATTGATGAGATAAATGATAATGCTCTTTTCCTGTGCGTTAGGTGGTGCTGTAACATATTACACTGTGTAACAGTTCGTACCATAACATATGATTATACAATGGTGATTAGGTGTACTGTACCATATTACACTGGGCATTAGGTGGTGCTGTTACATATTACACTGGGCATTAGGTGGTGCTGTAACATATTAAACTGTGTAGCAGTTTATACCGTAACATATAACTATTCAATGGTGATTAGGTGTACTGTACCATATTACACTGGGCATTAGGATTTGGTGGTGCTGTAACCTAGTACACTGGGCATTAGGTGTTGCTGTAACCTGGTGTGGTGCTGTAACATATTACACTGGGCATTAGGTGGTGCTGTAACATATTACACTGGGCATTAGGATTTGGTGGTGCTGTAACCTAGTACACTGGGCATTAGGTGTTGCTGTAACCTGGTGTGGTGCTGTAATATATTACACTGGGCATTAGGTGGTGCTGTAACATATTACACTGGCCATTAGGTGGTGCTGTAACATATTACACTGGGCATTAGGTGGTGCTGTAACATATTACACTGGGCATTAGGTGGTGCTGTAACATATTACACTGGGCATTAGGTGGTGCTGTAACCTAGTACACTGGGCATTAGGTGGTGCTGTGACATATTACACTGGGCATTAGATGGTGCTGTAACATATTACACTGGGCATTAGGTGGTGCTGTAACCTGGTGCGGTGCTGTAACATATCACACTAGGCATTCAGTGGTGCTTTAACATAGCACACTAGGCATTTTGCTGTAACCTGGTGTGGTGCTGTAACATATTACACTGGGCATTAGGTGGTGCTGTAACATATTACACTGGGCATTAGATGGTGCTGTAACATATTACACTGGGCATTAGGTGGTGCTGTAACCTGGTGTGGTGCTGTAACATATCACACTAGGCATTAGGTGGTGCTTTAACATAGCACACTAGGCATTAGGTGGTGCTGTAACCTAGCACACTAGGCATTAGGTGGTGCTGTAACATATCACACTAGGCATTAGGTGGTGCTGTAACCTAGTACACTGGGCATTAGGTGTTGCTGTAACCTGGTGTGATGTGGTAACCTGGTGTGGTGCTGTAACATATCACACTAGGCATTAGGTGGTGCTGTAACATAGCACACTAGGCATTAGGTGGTGCTGTAACCTAGCACACTGGGCATTAGGTGGTGCTGTAACATAGCACACTAGGCATTAGGTGGTGCTGTAACCTAGCACACTAGGCATTAGGTGGTGCTGTAACCTAGCACACTAGGCATTAGGTGGTGCTGTAACCTAGTACACTGGGCATTAGGTGGTGCTGTAACATATTACACTGGGCATTAGGTGGTGCTGTAACCTAGTGTGGTGCTGTAACCTGGTGTGGTGCTGTAACCTAGCACACTGGGCATTAGGTGGGGTTGTAACCTGGTGTGGTGCTGTAACATTGAATTAAACCCAGGGCAGTAGGTGGTGCTGTATCATAAGACCACTGAGCATTAAACCTTTAAATCAACATTAAGAAAATGAGAAACGACTCATTCCTATGAAATTCATGGATAAAGATTGAAGCTACACATTATCTAAAATTAATTATTTTTTTTCTTATTGAGTCCATAAAATATGTACTGAAAAAAATGATCTCAGTTGATGACGTTTGCAGCCCTAAGTCCCAGTATTGTATTCCTTAGAAAGATCCAATAAACCGTATCTATGACAGACAGATTATTGCCATGTTAACACATTTACCGTATCTATGACAGACAGATTATTGCCATGTTAACACATTTACCGTATCTATGACAGACAGATTATTGCCATGTTAACACATTTACCGTATCTATGACAGACAGATTATTGCCATGTTAACACATTTACCGTATCTATGACAGACAGATTAATGCCATGTTAACACATTTACCGTATCTATGACAGACATATTATTGCCATGTTAACACATTTACCGTATCTATGACAGACAGATTAATGCCATGTTAACACATTTTTATCTTTATCAAATAAAAAAAATAAGATTTTGTTTTGTAGACAGTGATTTTATTGATTACTTCAGTTCATTCTGACAGGTCTAATTGAACATCATTTTTCACAATTTTGGAAAAAGTTAAGATTATGGGGGTATGGTGGATGGGGTTGGTTTCAATAATGCTACACAGCATTTACCAGCACTTTTAAAAATATCCATGACCCTTTTTAATCTATGCACAGTAAAAGCAATAAGTAATTGATATTGTTTCCATAGATCATACATAAGCCACAACCCCCCCCCTCCTGTTGCTTGATCGTTATAAATATATACATACACAAATAGAAATATATGGGCTATCAAATTAACAGGTGTCTTCTCCTGTTGGAAATACTGATGACGTCATTTATTGCAAGCAATATAAAGATGTTTTCGAAATGATAAATTTAGAAATTTTGTGACTTATTTCCTCCTTTTTATCTGCCCCATTTGACTTTACGTTTTAATGATTGGGACAATCAAATTACAAATAAACTTGCAAGCCAACCGCACAAACAAACTGGCAACAAAACTCATCTAATGAACCGCCATCCAAACTCAAGATCAATCCATACCTTCACACATAGCACACAGAGACCATACCTTCACATACAGCACACAGAGACAGAGACCCTACCTCCACACACAGCACACGGAGACAGAGACCATACCTTCACACACAGCACATGGAGACAGAGACCCTACCTCCACACACAGCACACGGAGACAGAGACTATACCTTCACACACACAGCACACGGAGACAGAGACCCTACCTTCACACACAGCACATGGAGACAGAGACCCTACCTTCACATACAGCACATGGAGACAGAGACCATACCTTCACACACAGCACATGGAGACAGAGACCATACCTTCACATACAGCACATGGAGACAGAGACCATAACTTCACACACAGCACACAGAGACAGCGACCATACTTTCACACACAGCACTTGGAGACAGAGACCATACCTTCACACACAGCACATGGAGACAAAAGACCATACCTTCACACACAGCCCGTGGAGACAGAGACCATACCTTCACACACAGCACATGGAGACAGAGACCATAACTTCACACACAGCACACAGAGACAGCGACCATACTTTCACACACAGCACTTGGAGACAGAGACCATACCTTAACACACTGCACAAGGAGATATGGACCACACCTTTGTACATAAAACAAAGAAACAGACTACTTTAAAAAATATAAAATAACCACTTCTTAGTTTCTTCGAAGTCAACTAATAACATTGGATCCCAATCAGCGGTGGCTCTGTTTTGTCATCACAAGTTCACGCACATTGTTCTTGAACTCCTCAACATGCTTTTGATGGTACTCTTTGGAGGACTGCAGCGAGAAACAAAATAAATAACATCAATACAGCTCTACTATAATTACAAATTCATATGTGTTATTGTTCAGAAATGTGTGATATTGAGTAAATAGCTTTTTAAAGAGTTAACTGATCATAACTCCTTCCGATTTTCTGATGAGATAATCAAAGAGATCTATTTTTTCATTTACCAATCATTAACTTGAATACAACAAGATCCTAAATTTCAAAATGACAAAAAATTCTCTCCATTGAGTAATGCATGGAAAGAGTTGTTTTCATAGGTCAACATTTCAGAGCTTTTATCATTTAATACATGCAGAATTTACTACTACAGTTTGGCATTTAAATAAAATATTCATGGAGCAACCAAGATTAGCGGGGCAACAAAGAATAGTTTGGCCAAACACTACATACAATACACACATTTAATCTACAACAAAGGGTTTTTATATAATAATGCATAAATAATACATTCCTCCAACTTGATGCAAAGAACATTAGGTTTTATCTTATATCCATATGGGAAAAAATTTAATTACGACAATTAATCAGTAGGTAGATAAGAAAAGAAGCCACAATGACACATAGTTAAACATGTACATGTAATACAATTACAAAAAATGAATTTTTAGAGCGTACCAGTAGTACAAATGATTGTGTTATCTGAAGATTAGATAAGCCCTTTGTAAAAGCTTAGTGACAATCTTCATATGGTTCTAACAGGTGAGCATGTGATAGAAATGAATGGATAATGATAACCAAATAATCTTTGCAAAGCCTTGCACTAGGTCAATCATTAACTTAAAAAGATCTTTCAGGTTTTACTAGTACAGTCGCACCACCTATAATCCAATGATGTACAACATAAACAAAGCTGTCTGTTTCCCTTATATAGCAATTCAAACCGACAAGAGATTGAGAGAGAAAAACGTTAAAGTATTAATAGAAAGGCACCCAACAGGATTAAAAATTGTCAACAATTAGCTATGTACAGTAACACGCAGCAAAAGATAAAATAAGGTTGAAGATATGCAACCTGTTCCTCTCACCTGTCGGTCAAGTATAACGTCAACAATAGTTAACTACATCCCATCTCCCAAAATTTTACAAACAATATTTTACCCTTCATTGGCAGGTAATGTTTTGAAACTGAAAATTTGTAAATCTGGAAAAAAATGAGCCCTTACAAGATTAAATCCTGATAATCCATTCTTATTTTGAAGTTACAAATAAGATTTATAAAACACTCTAAAAGGAAAAGCTCGGGATAAAATATTTGCAACTCTTCTAAATTGATCGTGGGCCCTTAATTTATAGAAGAAGAAATCTCAAATCAATATTGTATAAAATGTTGAAATTGTTAATGAACTTAGGATGAGAACTTGTGGTCTGAGGGGGAAGCATGTCATATGTTGAGAGGCTTTTGTTCTCGGGGTGTGGATTCAGTGTAGGGAAGACAACGGTTAGATCATGAGTCAGAATTTGGGGGTAGGAGGTGGATGTGGAGAAAGTACAGTTTTTATGGGGGTGAGGAAAGGGAGAGTATGAAGTAAGGTGAGCAGCTAGGTGGACGTTTAGACAGTGTAAATACTCAGAAATAATGCTACAACAAAACAAGGTACCGTAATGCAAAAATCGCAATGAAAAAAGTAAACTTCGAAAAGTGTAAATTCGAAAATTAAATACAATGAAATGATTATCAGAGTTTAGACATAAAGTAAGTGACTCTAGAGTAAGGTGGGGAAAAGTCATAGAGGATAAATGGAGATATAACAGCTTAGACTAAACAGGGTTTACTAAGGTTTGGGGTAGGTGCAGAGTTAAAGGGTGAGACAGGAATGTAGGAATGGGCTTTGAAATGTTAATTTTGAAATGATTGAGAAGCATCTCAAATGTGCATGGGCAAGTGGTGGGGGGGGGGGGGGGTTATGGCGTTTTACTTTGGGGCAGCGATTGTGTGTTTGTGAGGGGGGTAATTAAGGCATTAGAAAAAGAAGGTTGCACGGGAGAAAGATTGTTTGAAGTTTGTGACCAGGTATGGAGCACTACGAAAAGGAGATGGGTTTAGGAAAATCTCACAAGTAATGAAACATGCAACAAGCCTTTACAATGAAAGGTTGACTCTTGAGAACAACACCTTTCACTATAACCAGTGTCAGAGCTTCTAGTATTGGAAATGAACATGAGGAAGTAAATAAGGAGTTACTTTGAAATAAACAGGAAAACACCTACAAGCGCCAATTGTTAACGAAACCAATTTCTGTTACGCTGCCATAACATGACTCATTTGTCTAGTCCAACACAAACTAAATAAAGAACTCCTGGAAACCTTTCAATTTTGTGTTGGAGTTTAAAAATAAGTTGTTGTTGTTCAAAAAGATATCAAAATGATTCATCCTTTTTTTTTGCACTGTTAACATTAATTTAATTCAATTAATGACAAATGTCTTAAAACTTTGTAAGAGCAAGCAGTCAAGCCTAATTTCTAACTTCGATTGAAATGTGATACTCAAATAAAGTGTGGTTCTAAATGGAATCCTGTCCAAAACTTTAACTCTTTGCACACTAGAGCATAAAACCTAAGTTAAATCTTTTTTAGATAAATAAATGAAAATGTAATTTCATGTCTTGGTTATTTCTTAAAGGATTTATAGATGGGCTAAGCTATTTTCAGGACGTAAACAAACAGGAAAGTAAATTGTATGCACTTATATATATATATATATATATATATATACACACACATATCGTTATATATGACACATGTAATCATACAGTATTTGAACTTGCTATATTACTTGTACACATTTAACATGTGTCATGTGGTGTCTTGTTTTATAATATTTCACTTTAGGGATTTATTTGAAGGTCTTAAAAAATCCCAAAAAACTTGACACGAAACTTACAATCAACACAAAATGAGAAAAAAACCACTTTCTAACTTCCTTCATGTGATCATTTCTAAACGATACTTAAGGTTTAGGTCCTGAAAGCTCTTGAAATAGTCTAAATGGTTTTCCATAAATAAAAATGCCCATTAAAAACTATTTAAAGATACTCCAAAGTACTCTTACGCCCTTTACTAATGAATAAAATTATATCCACAGTTTCCAGCAAACTGAGACATTCAAATAGAGCAGCAGTAAAGAGAAGTTTGCTAAAAATTAAAAAAAAAAGAGATTTTGTTAAATCCACGCCCAGGTTTGTGTGTTGTTTTGTGAAAATGTTTTTGAAATCATTTTCCATTATCTCACAGCACGATGTTATATAACATTTTCTGCTTTAAGATACAAACTGTGGACACAGCATAAAAAAACACAGTGTATTTTATTACAGGACATGTGAAAAAAAATAATTTCTTATAACTTCTGTGATTATTATAAGTTTTCTTTATGTGTTGAATATTTGTTACCCTGCTAGTAACTAGGCATTACTGGATTTCCATAAAGGTCTTGAATTCATTAAGAATCTTGCTGCATTTAATGCAACATTTCGTTAGCTTGATGATGTTTTGATGAGTAATTTCAAATGTTAAATTAACATAAATGAATGTGCAAATGTTAAACCAGTATGGACAGTTTTAATCTCTTGGTACATGGTTGTACCAAGAAAAATAATCCATGGAAATTCTACTAACAATTAGTAACATAGTGGTCTCCCTTCAATAGTAAAACAAAGCAACAAGAAATGATGGTTGAAAGAGAAGGAACATGAAGTTATCAACAAGCAGAGCTAAAAAAAAAAAAAAGAAAACTATAATAAAGGGAGAAATATTAACAAAAAAAAAAAATAAAAGCAACAAAATCAGTTTTAATCTCTTGGTAAATGGTTGTACCAAGAAAAATAATCCATGGAAATTCTACTAACAATTAGTAACATAGTGGTCTCCCTTCAAAAGTAAAAAAAAGCAACAAGAAATGATGGTTGAAAGAGAAGGAACATGAAGTTATCAACAAGCAGAGCTAAAAAAAAAAAAAAGAAAACTATAATACAGGGAGATATATTTACATACAAAAAAAATAAATGCAACAAACCTCTAATGTTTTAATTTTTTCAGCAAAAGCCTGTTGTTTGTTTTTCAAATCTTCCAAAACTTGATCTTGACTTTGCAATAAAAACCTGTAAGTTTAATGGAACTTTTAAATGACATTTAACATGGTATTAACATTATGTAAATCACTCTAATTCCATTTTTTAACCAACTTAATATCCACCCACTTTCTTTGTTTACACCAACACACCCATTACAATTATGGCTTGTATTAGTCCTTAAATTTCAGTTTAAGGAAGTTTATTTTCTGCAATTAAGAATTCAGTTAAGGATTTTAAAATGGCTGCTGAAACAGAACATCTGAACTATTTTCTATTTCAGTACTCACTGGATGGGAACTGTAAGCCTCTGATCGTTTGTTACCATATTGCAATTGTAAATAAATAAACATACAGTAAAAAGTATACTGTAACTATTCCAAAAACATGTCTAATAAAGGTCACATGTCAAAGTACATCACTGATGTTTATTTTTTATATACAGAACTTTATTGCAAATAGCAAGATGCCTGTTACTTTCCACTTTGATAGACAAAGATGTGGTGGGGGAGCTGAAATTGTGGACGCCCAACAAAGTTACCCATGCAAAAGTGGGGGTGGGCCCCCTTTCCAGAATTAAAAAAAAATAAATTCAAACTACTGGGATGCGCTTTTGCATATACCTTAATATAGTTTTGCATCATTCTACACTTTTTTCGTAATGCATGTGGAAAATTAGGTTCTGCTTACCTAGCTTTATTTATATAAAAAATTATTTTTATTTTAGTAGTTACTAAATAGTAAAATTGTGTTATAACTTATTAAATATTTCAATCTGTTTTTTAATCAGTCCAAAAAAAGGGTCAGGTACACCAAAATGGCCCATACTGTCACAAAAATTGATGTATATATATATATATATATTTCAAATTTGAGTTTAGGCCAAAAATGAAAATAATTGCAAGTTGAATGAAGAAATAAGTTCATTTGAGATGAATCCAGTGGGCCACAATATTTAATGTGGTAGACCGTGGGTTGACCACCCCTGCTTTAAGCCTAGAGGCATGATTTTATTATCTGTTCAAATATTGTAGTCTTAATAACTACTGCAAGCTGTATTGGGAGTAGGGAAGCGGAAGGCTGGTCTATTAAAAGTGTACAGCTGCTTAGTGACTTTTAAAAATACATTTCAAATGCCTCTAACTAGATCTTATACAATTTCAAAGTCTAATGTTGCTGTGCGGAGCAATTGGAGCAACCAAACAGCTGGTGGTCTGGAGTTCAATCCCCACCAAAAGCAAATCATCCCAAGCACCCCGGGCAGATGGGACTCGTTAGCCTTGGACGGCAACCCATCTAAGAGAAGGAAAACTCTGAATTTAAACCAGGAGCCAGAATGATCAACAAATTGATCGTGGGCATCTCAAATATAAGAAGAAGAAGAAGAATTGACATGGAGTAAAAAATGTATATGTGGTTTATAATTAAGGATGGTCCCCAGCCAATCGCATTTCTCTGTCCATTCACCGGCAGGTGTAGATAGGAGCTAAAACTAACAAATAAAAAAAATTATTTTATTTAAAAAGCACCGGAAAATATTTTTTTTGAACTCAGTCTTGTAAAATCGTAGTTCTGACAGGCATATACCTGTTTAAAACGATACATTGTATGTCAAAATTGTAAGAGCAAACAGGTCAACATTAATTTTTGGGTTTCAATTTGTTATAAATAATCCCATTAAGGCAACAGGGTGTTGCTCCATTTTTTAAAGCTGTCTTATTTCACAGAGTTGGATACCTTAAGTGTAAAAATGTTGGTTGTAGATTGACACTTTAAAAAAAAGCTATCTTCCTATAAAATATATTTTTGAAACTATTCTTTAGATATATTTTTAATTTAAGAATCGTATTTAACATAGTCTTTGACAGGACTACTTACAGTTATTTATAATTATTTTTAAATATAACAGGAGACAGAAACAGTATTCCTAAAGATCAAAACAGATTATTCCAGCTTACATTCCCTAAAGATCAAAACAGATTATTCGAGCTTACATTCTTCCTATTGTCTTATAAACATTAACGTCGGAAGGCAGCTTTGTTAACTCATGCTCCACTAGTTGGGAATGCTGAATTTTTCTGTTCAAACTTTCAATCTGAGCATTTGACAAACGAATCTGAGCCTCTGCTTGAATTTTCTTCATGGACAATTCAGAAAAAGCCTGTGTAGAAAAAGTTGAATAGATATTTTATCAGTTAACTAAAAAACATTTTAAAGATGTTTGGATTCCTGATGATCTATAAATCCCTGCAAAAAACATTCTTCAAACTACATAAATAAGAGCAAAATCAAAATTAACTGTGTAAATATGAACAGCATTTTAATGTTTTTTTTTTTCAAATTGTTTGCCTTTTACTTTCTACCTATTATTTTATTTTAAACATAAGAACATTTCTACATGAAATAAATGTCTAGGTAGCAACCAAATCACTCAGAATCCTTTTCTTGATCTTAAGTGCTTCTTTAAAAAAATTAATTTGGTTGGAAGCAAGGTGGTGGTTAAACAAATCAAAAAAAAAAAAAATATTTTAATTTTTTTTAAACTGTCTTATGATGTGTCTCAAAAGAACATATCAAGAATTTTTTGACAGAAGAAAACTATCAGAATTTTCAGCTTGAGGATGTCATAATCCCAATTTCCCAAAAGTAAATTCACCTGAATTTTCAAAAACTGAATAAATTTTGCATTACTGCCTTTATTAAACTTGTTGAATTTGAATTAATTCAGGGTCATACCCAGCACTGCATAAACAGCTAGGTGGAATGCATTTGTTAGCCTAATTAGGCAGCAATTTTTTAACGATCAAGTAAACCCTAGTTCTGTGCTACCCGGTACCCAACATTTTCAACTACATGAGCCAAAAAAAAGTTTTCACCAAACCCGAGGGCCGCAAATGACATCTTAAAAGAAATATTCTTTCAAAAATTTTTTTAGAATAGTATCCATATTATTAATACCTTTTCCCTTATGCATAAAGTGTCATATTAACAATAGCATTATCTGCTCATAAAGTCATTAAGAATGTAAAAAAAGCGAATAAAAACTGTAGCCCATTTTAATGATATATATTGCTTTGAGTAGTAATTGCTATTTTCTTAATTTGTGGTAGTTAACATTGGTACTTCACCTCGTTAGATTTCTAAATGTTCACCAGTCAAAGCTCATTACATTTTGGTCATTAAAGGGAATCCAGTTTCACTAATGTAAGGTGCTTCCAAAAAACATTGTCAAAATCTTGTTACAATATTTCCAAATATGTGAAAATTCATCAGAAAAAACATACAGCATCCAGACTTTATTTGGCCACACATTCTATGTTAATTAGTTCCTACTGTCTCAAGTTTTCTCCCTGTTTCTCCCTGACTGAATTGCATTAATTATAAATAGTATAATTATATTCAAATACAACTTGCATCCTGCTTTCTACTCATTGAAAGTCTCATACTCCAATGTCTGAATACCAGGTACTTGTCCCCAAGATCCCAACAATGCAAGATGGACAGACACTCTCCCATACCTGACTAGACTAGCTGTTTAAATAACATGGTATCATTAATGGTTCACACTGCCCCCTAAATTTACATTGAATTGTGACGCCTTTAGTACCCCAGCTCCAATCTCAATTACTCTGACCTGAGTCATATTATTATCATCACACAAAGCAAAATAGCTAACTCAAAGTGCTCACCTATTTATTTCACCTAGCTTGGTCCCATTGGTGGAGGCATGAAATTTTTACAACAAACAAATACAAATCAATTTACTTTTGGTTTCCTTATTCATCTTTCCTAATGCCTTAAGTAATTATAGTCATTAATCCATAAAGCCTCGCCTGTACAAACAACAGAAAGAGGGAGAAGATAGTATTCGATTTCATGTCCCCCAAAGTCCCCAAAGGGTAGCTATGCTGATGTGCTTAACATAAATTACTGCTACCTGTCACGCCATGCAACTCCTTAGCTTTTGTGACCCCCCACCTATTCCATGTTGCAACTTCTCCTGTGCACTCATTCGATTACAGAACAATATCCAACCAATGAATGTGGTTTGAAAATATTATCACCCTAAAATTGTTAATTCCTTTACACACATCATACAAATTTCTCAAGCTGTGGCAGGCCATTTAAAATCAGCTCCCGGGCTGCTGCAGGTTGGAAGCACTGCCCTATTTAGTATGCACTATCCATATACTCTTGTCTGTTATTTAAACTTATTTATCATGACCATGGGTTTAAAGAGGTCTACATTCTTTGGAGCCCTACGGGGTTTGCCCTAGCTGAGCCTGCATTTTACATGATGCCTAGATTGAAATGATTCCTTCCTCATGGACAAGGTATGAACGTTGGAACTTGATTGTATCTGAGCTGCAACTCTGGCATATAACCTGTGGTCCTCCCCGTCCATTGTGTAGTCTCATGTAGTGGTTTATACATGCTGTGCATCTTAGGTATAGACATTTATTCAAGTTTCAATATATTTTAGATTAATTTTTAATCTAATAACAATAGTAAGTTGTCTGCAAAGGGTGGGATTAAGAAACATATAATTTATTCGAAAGGTCCATTAAAACTATAAAAAATTTCGTCAAGGGACTCATTTTGCTCCATCAGTTCAATTTTTAGTTTTTTAACTGAAAGTGTTGAAATCTAAATTTAAATACTCTCCTTATAATCAAACATTTCTATGACCTTTTCTTGATACATTTTTTTTTTTAAAATGAAAAACATGCTCTCAAAGTATGTTATGCCAGAGAAAAATATGTTTAACAAGCTGACACGATGATGGCAGATATGCTGGATGCCTGACAGTAAACAATTGTAAAGTAAACTTAGCTCCCATAAGGTAATAAGTGAGTCTTTGGATTCCCCATTGTCCATTGTACTTTCAGAAAATGTATACTTGTAAGAGTCTCTGAATTCATTTAGTCTGGGATTTTTGTCATTTTTGACAAGCATATAAAATTGCTAAAAAGGATTAACACTATAGAAATTTTTTTTTGACAGTTAGAGGGTAAAAGGCCAAGCTCTATTTAAAAAACACACATTACATTGTTATAGATAAAGGCCAAGAACCCTTTGTTAATATTTAAAATTCAAATTCCTCTAATTTGGTCATGGAGTAGCAGTATGACTAATACTTATAACGAAAGCTTCTATTATTAATTTTGTTACTGCAAATTAGGCATAGTGTTTTTATTTATTAGGCCTACTTTAAACAATTAACCTAACAAAGTAGGTTAAGCTTAGAAGACTAGGTCATTTTAGACCACGCTCAGTCACATAATTTTCTATTCAAAGTGGCTACCTGTCAATTAAAAACTAGAAAAACTAAATTAAAATAATTATTTACTGCGTCTTACACTTTACTTATGCCAAAATTGCTTGATCGGCAAAAACAGCACCAAAAAAAATAATCTGATCTGTCAAATCAGTATAGTATAAAATATATTTTCCAAAACTTGTAAAGAGCATAGGCAGTTAAGGCAAAACCACTAGCAATGTGCAAAATCCCATTGATAAATGATAGGGGCAGGGGGGCTAATTAATAGATGACAATGTCAGGTCATTAACACAATTTTTTTTCAAAATGAAAAATTCCAGATGAGCTGGATAATTTCCTTACTAGAATGCCCATTTTCCTGTTTTCATGACGGGGAAAATTATTTAATGTGTTCCTGACAAGGCGGCAACTGTGTTAATTGAAAATTGCAATGAAAAACCATTACCCAGGATTTCATGCAGGTCAGTATGACAGGGAAGCTCAATGTTTGATATTCGGCTGTAGAACTTATAACTCTATTGCCAATAAGGGTGTAATGGATTTAAAGGCGCATGTCAAAACCCGAAAGCATGTTAAGGGTGTTCTCTGAAAAAGTTCAAGTACCAATGTGTTACGTGTGTTACAGAGAGCTTGTTTACATCATATTTCTCGTGCGTGCCCTCTGATTGACCCCGCATGAGACGCTGTGTTCACAAAGGGGTGTGGCTTAGGCCTTTGAAGTATCTTGTTTACAATCGGCTTCCAATTACGCATTGGGTATAATGACTCGGGGTACTTTCTGGAATGTACTCCTTAACCCGAGATATGTAAACAACACGTCATAAGCCCTTCTGGAAGCGCCTTACTCTACACCTATATAAGGGATTGACAGGCACGGACGAGGGGAGATTTTCATATAGATTCTCTTAACATTACGAGGCGTGTTTTATTCTTTGTGTATTTGTGTGCTCCTACTTATATGTGTTTATTTCGCATTATTTATTGGCATCATTATTTCTAATTGTATTAACTGTGTACCGGTACGAGATCCACCATACTGTAAGTTGAAGATTGTAATTTTATTTTATTTTCTTTTGTAATTATCTTTAGACATAATAAATCTTATTAATTGTAACTAGAAACTGTTTTGGGTCGTATCTTTAATATTGTTGATTCTGTGGTATCGTCCTTTGTTAGGCACTGATTACAACCAGCCAATTAAAATTAAAATAGGAGATTAATTTCTCCCAATACAAGTCAGTGAGTAACAAATGTAACTTAATTTTTCAAAAGTGACGAATTATTTGAGCAGCCCAAAGCATACAGGCATTTCATCCTGTTAAGCACCTTGACAGCTATATTTATAAATCAATGGGCTGCAGTTGTCGCTTATTATTAAAAAAATTTACCTGATTCTGTTATTTCATGGAAAAACCATTCAGTGTAATGTAATATTTATTGAAAACTTGCTAATACCAGTTTAAAACTATTTACAATAAGAACATTAGTTTATGTAGTTAAATTTACTTTTATTTGTACAAAACTGTACATTTAGCTCTGTATTTATTTAATTTGCTAAGTTTTATTTTCTCATTTTTTAATTTTTGTCTTAAAAAGAGGAGGGGGGTTCTCCTCTCCCCAGAAAATTATGTTGAATTCTCCCATTAAATTGCAATATTATAATTATATATATATATGAGTGGCAAATGGGGATTTCACTTTCAACCAATATAAAAACAGCACTTCTAACCATGTGGATGTCTTTTTCTCGGTATTTATTTTGGGGAATAAGTAAGGATGATTTTCTTTTCATTTCTTTTGAAACTTGTACGTTGAATTTTAATAAAAACGAAATAGAAAATTTTATTGTAACTATTTCATATATAATTAACTGTATACTATATTGATCGTCAGATTATGCTTTTGAAGCAAATAACGCTCAGTGAGGAACGGGAAAGTTTCATTCTCATGGTTCAGGTCCAAATGTTGGTCCTGTCACTCACTCACTGTCCCCCTTAGCCTTAGGCGCCATAGTCCAGTGTTGGGATTACCAAAAAGATGTCAATGAGCTTAGGGTGAAAAAACTACACATTCATTTACCCACTCTTATACTCATTTTTTTTCACTAGTTACTTTGACTTTAGTACTGAGTACTGTGGACTGTAGCAGTATATGTAGCCGTAACGTGGCTGAAACTGAAGGGTACTAGTACTGTTTTTTTACATGTATGACTGTGTGTGTTGCAAAGTGTTTGATTAATAGTAATACTGTATATGTACTGTTTTAAGTCTATTATAGTTATTGTATACTGTGTAGTATGTCTCTGTATCAAATGTATGAGTACTATGACTACTACCTTAGACGCCTTAGTAATAACTTAGTAGTACTAATGTATAATGTTAAAAGTTAAAAGGCTCCGGCTAAAATAAATAAATGACTGTGAGCTGTAGCCGATGTAGTGAAGTCGCAGAACTAGCGACCCTACTACTACCAGTCGTTCAAATTTACCTCAACTAAACTGTAAAACTTAGATGATATTACAACGTGATAATACAGCAATTTTATAACTGTCATTAAAACAGTTCTTTCTTTTTAAATCTTACGTTTGCAAGTTCAGGATCAGCGATCTGACCGGTGGCTGCCATCTTAAATTCTCGAGAGGGAGAATGCATTGAAATTATTTACGTAGACTATTTACGTTGTAAGGAAAGAAAGAAAAACAAACAAACTAATTTTTCAACGGGCGAAACAATTTTTTGTGTGGAGAATGTAGGCATAATATTCAAGTGCAAATAATATTATGTAAAAATTAAAAAAATACGAGTAGGGTTGTTCCAATCGAATGTTTGCACCTTTAAGGAAACAATGATGCATAAAGTTTGAGTATGATTAGTATGAGTAGGCCCAAGTCACGCTATTTTTGGACAATTTTTACCCCTTCCCTCCCGTGTCACAATGTCACACCTCAGACATCCCGCCCCACCCCTTTAAAGCACGCAACTAGTCGTTACACCTCCAAAACTATTTTTTAAAAATAAATAAATTAAACAACCCCTAAATAATTTTTTTTTTATAAATCATTTATATTCATTTTTGTTTGCTATTATGTAATTGTACGTGATTTACCATTTCTGATAGGCTACGTTGCTGCAACCAAGTACTGGCTTAAGTGCAACGGTTTGGGAAACGATGCGGCTATCCTAACCGCTCCTAGCGGGTGCCCGGGCAGCCTTGAAACTCTCGAGTGATGTCGAGTCCACGGTGGCATTGTCCAGTTGGTTCCAAGCAATTTTTGTTCGTGGGAAGAATGACTGTTTATATTGTCACATCATTGTTCCTGCTCATGGTGTTATCAGAGGTGAAGTCAGTGTTTATTGAACGTTTGGCTCTGATTAAGCGACCTGGCTTCTGCAGGGTTAGATACGTGTTAGCTGGAATGGCCGGCACTAGCCCCGTGATCACTTGATAGAGAAATGTTAGGCGGAGCTTTTCTCGTCTGTCTTGAGGGAGGGGATGTCAAATTTTTTAAGAGGTCAGTGACGAAGCCAGGAGTTGTGGATTTGTGGTCACTTGCGATGAAGCGCATTGCGTTGCGTTGTATTCTGTCCATTTTGTCCACGTCTTGCTTTCTTTAGGTATGGGTCCCAGATTATCGCACCATACTCTAGTAGCGGACGGTCAAGTGCGAGATAGATTTATTAAGAAGCGGTTAAGTAAATGGGAAAACTTCTGGAGAAAAAAAACGTTGTCTTATTTCCTTCATTTCCCTCTTCAAAAATACATTTTACTTTTGCTGCAAGCCAAAATACGTTGGAAATACAAAGAACATGGTAACCGCTACACAATTTATCTCCACACCAAAAAATGCACCCATTGAACAAATAATAGTTAATTCATCATCTCGATGAAGAACAGGAAAAACGTATTATTGGGGGATGGGGCTAAAAATTTGACAGAATTTGTTGTCATCGGCAACGAGTCTATGGGCCAAGTTTCAGCTCGATAAGATGACGGGAAGTGGGTCAATTAGCCGACCGAAGATTTTGCCTGCCACCCAACCAGACGCGTGTCGACATAACTCAGATTCAACTTTACAGATGACTTAAAGGCAGCGAGCGTGCTCGCTCATTCATGTGTGCAAATAGAAAAATAGCGCTCGACACAAACGATGGAAATGAGAGTAGCAGAAAGTTTTTCAAAATTTGATCTGAGCTCAACTAACCACCCGTTCATCCAACATTAATTTGAGTGACACTGTCAACCCGCCTCCATCGAACCTGTATTCTTTTCCAGCCGTTCACCAGGTGAACACTGTACGAGAATGACTAAAAAATGTGTCTCCACTGGATGGAAATAGGGTTTAAAAGAAAATCTTTATAAAAAAAAACAAAAAATCCCCCCCCCCCCCCCCAAAATAAAAAAAAAATTAAAATAATAATAATCATCCTTTATTTATCTAAGTACTATAATTTATAGCGACTGTAAGCAACCGTTAATGTGTGAATAGATTCCTATGTAACCATCCCTCTACTTACCCACCCCCATTCATCCATGTACGTACCAACAATCTACTAACTACCCTCTGTATCCATTCATCTACATACCCACTAAACAAGCTACATACAAACACACCAATATTCCTACGTATCCAGCTATGTACACATCGAACAAAAATTCGACCTACCCACACATCCAACAACCTACCCACCACTACATCCATCAATTCATATACCCAATTATCTTTGTAGATACCCACGAACCACTCTACCTGCCCACACACCAAAAATCAATTTAACTATCAATCCATCAGCCTACATACCCACCCCTCAATATACCTACCCCCCCATCCATCCATTTACTCATCCAATATTCTACCCACCCACCATTCCATCAATCAATCTACCTATCCATCAATCAATCCATGATTCCCCCATCAATCCCTTTACATAAACATCAATCGATCCAGCTACCCATCCATTCATAGGCCTAAAAATCCATCAATATACCATCCATATTACTACCTACCCATCCACCAATATATCAATCCTTTCATCCATCTTACTACCTACCCATCCACCCAACCATAAAAAAACCAATACACCTATTATTTCAACTGCTCGACTTCAGTCTGAATATTTCTCTGTCCTTCCATTAATATGCGTCTTTCATTATAAATGCTTGCTATTCAGTGTAAAATAACTATCAAGCTTTGAAAACAATTCGTGTTATAATTAATTATCTTAATGAGTGTGTCTGTGCGTGAGTGTAGTTAGAATGGTCTGGAAGCTAAAAATCTGTACGAAAAAGTATTTTATTTTTATTATATTAATTTATAAGCTATGGCAACAAAACATTTATTTTCAATTTAATATAACAACAACGAAACACAAAGATAAAGAAAAATGTAACACGTGAAGAAAGAAATGTAAAACATAAAGAAATAATTGTAACACATAAAGATAAATAAATAAATGTAAGACATAACTTAGGTAAGACACACACTAGTAATAGATTATTTTAATTAATAAATAGTTGCAGTATAAAAATGAGCATCATAAATCAGAGTTGCACTTGGGGGTAATAATTAAGATACTAAAATATTGAAAAAATTTGGAAAACGTGTGTTGTTTTTTTGTTGGTTTTTTTTTTGTTGAAAGGAAGTGAAAACTAAGATGTTTCTATAGTCTGGACAAAGATTAATATTATACTGTTTGAAAGTGAGTAGGTTGTTTCAAACATATTTTATTGTATTATATCTAATTTTACACGATGGTTTAAATTATTCGATTTCCCTTTGGAAACAAATGTCAGATGTGCATTGTCAATACGAACAAAACATTTATTGATTGATTAATTAGTATTTAAAAAAAAAATTATCATAATATCATTATATTTAAATCAAAAGAACATAGTTTTGATTATATCATTTGTACATAATTGTTTTCCTGGTGCATTTTATATCTGATATCCGCATTTGTGCTCTCACGTATGGACTATTGCAATGCTCTCATGGTGGGTCTTCCAGCTACGCTCCTGGATAAAATTCAAATAGCACAGAATAATGCGGCTCGCATTGTTCTCCGCTAACGCAAATTCGACCACCCAAAAACGTTTCTGAGAGAATTGCACTGGCTGCCGGTGCGTGCTCGCATAGAGTACAAAATCGCAACTTTGTGTTACCGCTGCTTACATGAATTGGCGCGGTCCTATCTGAAACAGCTGCTGACGTCTTATGTACCCACTAGACGACTCCGCTAATCCGATAGTGGCAAACTCTCGACACCACGTGTTTGCCTAGAGACTTACGGAAAGCGCACTTTCGCATTTGCTGGTCCAACAATTTGGAACGCCCTTCCTGTCGATCTTAGAAACAACCAGACACTGGAGTCCTTTAAAACCGATTTAAAGACACATCTATTTCGCAAACACCTTCTGGGATGATTGTCTACCTTATTTTCCAGTTAATGTATATTGGCTGTGTTGCTAAGGGTTGAAATGGCTAGAATGACTTTGCCATTGTATGCTTGTAATTAGTTTTTTGTAGTGTTGCGTTTGTTTTAAATGTGGTAAATTATAGATTTGTTTTTTATTGTGGACTTTGTACCGCGCTTCGAGCCTTTGGGGATGAAGCGTGTTTTTCAAATAAACTTTATTATTATTATTATTATTATTATTATTATTTATTACTCTTCATTAAACAAACAAAAAATATTTTGACATTTCCTTAAGAAATGATGCCGCATACGATAAATCTTAAAATAACTGAATATAAAGATAACATTTTTAAATGATGGATCCATCGTAATTAAATCTTATTTGATCCATACATTTTTAATCAACTTCAAAAATTTGAAAGTAAATCAGCTTATAGTGATTGTTTATTTTTAAAAAAAAAATTAATTAAAAAGGTAAATAGATTATAATACTAAAAATTACAGTGTAAAGTTACTAAAATAATAAAAATTATGTCTGTAGACCAGACTTAGTTTAGTAAAGGAAACTCTGAGCACCAACGAGTCAGATTATTTTAGGTAAATGATAGCAGGACGGTGAGATTATTTAAGGCAGTTCATAACACCATAGGCAGATTATTTATGGAAACTCATAGCCCAACAGGCAGATTATGAATGGTAACTCATAGCCCAACAGCCAGATTATTAATGGTAACTCATAGCCTAAAAGGCAGATTATTAATGGTAACTCATAGCCCAAAAGGCAGATTATTAATGGTAACTCATAGCCTAAAAGGCAGATTATTAATGGTAACTCATAGCCCAACAGATGAGATGCTTCAGAAGCATTTTTGGCATTTGCTATAGGGACCATATCTCCAATGATACAGTGAAAGAAAGGGTTCGCCAGGCAATTGGGGAATACGATGTCCTACTGGTGACTGTGAAAAAACGCAAATTACAATGGTACGGCCACGTAACAAGGAAACAATGGCTTGCCAAAGAAATATTGCAGGGCACCACAAGAGGAGGGAGAAGAAGAGGAATACAAATAAAACGATTGGAGGATAACATCAAAGAGTGGACAGGACTAACGCTGGGCGATGCTGTGCGTAGTGCAGAAGACAGAGACGAATGGAGGAGGATAGTTCACATGTCATCTGTGGCGCCCCAACGGTCTAAGGACTAAGGGACATGATACTGATGATAGCCCAACAGGCAGATTATTTAAGGAAGCTTATAGCACAACAGGCAGATTATTTAAGGAAACTTATAGCATAGCATGCAAATTAATTATGGAAATTATCAGCATCGAAAAGGCAGATTATTTATGGGAACTCACAGCTTTACATGCAGATTATTCAAGTAAACTTATAACACAGCAAGCAGATTAATTATGGAAATTCTCAGCACCAAAAAAGGCAGATTATTCAAGGAAGCTCATAGCCCAACAGGCAGATTATTTATGCAAGCTCATATCACAGCAGGCCGATTATTCAAGGAAGCTCATAGCACAACAAATTCAAGGAAGCCCATGGCACAACAGGCAGATTATTCAAGGAAACTCGGAGCACCAAAACGCATATTAGTAAAGATGACACTGTTTGCCCAAAGACAGACTAGTAATGAAGACAAAGAAGCCGTTGTGCCTTGGTTGAGTTTAGACTGACCCTTCATACCAAAGGAAGTGTGGAGATCTTCGTCAGTTCTGTTGTCATTGTCGTTGTCAATGCCGTCCAGTCTCTCCTCATCGAGGTCACCATCACAGTCGTTATCCAGAAAATCATCAGCTTTCATTGTGGATACCGTTTCCAGGCATGCCGGGCAAATGTTAGTTACAGAATAGCCCACAGGGTGTTGGTAGGTGGTCTTCCACGTGTGGCCGTAAATGTACACAGCGAAACAAGCCCCGTTCTGTGTCGTGGCCTCCTGAGCGGTTGACGTCGTTCTTCTTCTCCCAACTGACCATTCGCTGTCTCCATCCGTTTTGGTCCAAATAAAACTTGTAGATGCCCCTGTAACGGCCAACCACCTGATAAATATTCCCTTAATGACGATACTGACAAAATGTTCGGCGTCCGGATCCCCCTGAAACTGTGGCACCACCCAAGCATACATGTTGAGAAACTTTTCACTTGGAATCAAACTACTAATGGACGGACCGCCCAAAGACTCTCTCAATCGACACCGGCTTAGCATGATTAAATAGCACGATACAGGTTTTTTGGCTGTAATTTTGTGATCTGGTCTAGACGATCCTACAACTTTCAGAGGGGATTTGGGATCCTTTATGACAAAACGAAGGGGAAGATACACTTCCGATGTCGTGACCACGACTTCTGTGTCAGGAAAGAGTGCGATGATGTGAACAGAGGCTTTTGTGTCTCTCCCAGTAGGCTCAAACACGATAAATATCTGTCCGTAGCTAGAAGTTGGCAGCGGCATGTCGTAGGCGTAATCACCCCCGAACACTTCATGGGGTGCTTGGTTGCAGTTTATTTCCAGGGTTAGGCTGTAGCAACTCCCGGAGATGACCCCGACGGGAGTATTGGCCTCGACGGATGTTCCCGATAGCTCACCGGGGACATCACTTTTGCAGTCTGCGAGAACGAACGCTTCTTGACGGTTGAGGGTCACAGTGATGGTGCTCCCCGCCCCGTACCTGGTGCCTGCCCATGACGTGTTGAATCGCGAAGGGGCCAAGTTGTTGATTTTAATGGTGACTCGAGTGTCTGGTTCCGATGAAAGGATCGATATAAATGGACCCTTGTGTAACGTCAGCACATAATACTTTAGACCGTAACAATGCACCGGGACAAGAAGGTAGCTGGCGTAGTAGTATTGTACTAGCTGGGGCATGACGGCGGCGCAAATATCCTCATTGGCCTCAATAATGATGACATGGGTAGTGCCGCTCTGATCAAAATCTGTGTATAATGTGGAAACTGATATTCTGACCTTTGTTGCGTTATACCTTGCCACTGTGGTTTTGATCGGCTCCATTGGGTAGTTTCCTGACGCGAAAATACTGACTTTGACCGATCGATTCGAGAGCGTTGCTAAGTACAAATATGAACTATCAATGGGGTATTGAATGTGCTGTAGTAGAAAGTACCGACCCATGGTTGATAAGACTGGCTCTGCATTCGTTGTAGAGAAGAAAAATAGGAAAAGTATTTTTAGAACCATTTTCAATGGCAAGTATTGCATTGCAAGGTAAAAGGACATTTCAGATCAAAACGGAAGTCAATGCCACGACGGAAACACCTAAAAAAATAAACATTTAAAAGCACATTGTAGTAAAACAATTCTGATTAGAGAGTTTTATGTTCAAATTGTACATGAGAAAATGGCGTCAGCGAGTCGTCGAGCAAGTACCAAGCGCTTCATGCCCTCCCAAAAGCAACCCCCCCCCCGCCACCTACACATACACGAATATCGGGCCGCGAAGTGGCAGGTTTGAGTCTCCCTTCACCAGGACAAGGGTGGTTTATATCAAGTGAGGCTAGTTACGCTTATTTCAGATGACTCCTTTTTTTACATTTAAAAAAAATAAATCTTTTAGTAATGAAGCTTTTTTAAAAAAAAATCAATAAAACAAAAATATTGTTATTACATGAACAAAAATACTTTACAAAAATGGTAATGAACATTAAAAAAAAAAAAAAATCACAACTGTCCTAATTTTTTTTGGTCAGAAGCTTGCTTGTAATAACTTGTCAAGAAGATCTTATAAATCTGGCAACCTAATGTGTCTAGTCAAGAAGAATTAGACTACTCATTGAAACAAAGTTTTTGGTAAAAATCCTTTATACAATGGGATATCGAGCAATAAAAATGGGGGCTGAAAGTTTGACAAAACATGCATACAAGTAGATTAATATTCTAATGACCCACCCGCCTTTACACTTCTAAATTATTGACCATTTCAGAAAAACAAAAGAAAAATTAACGCACTTGCGATACTTTAAAATAAAATAATATCATTCGGCGCGGCTATCGGGAATTTTATTTCGTGAAAATAGCGTAATCCCATTCTTTATCTTCCCATTGAAAAAAAACAAACATGAGAAACTGATTTTTGGGGGTTGGGGTTGTGGGAGGGTGGGGATGAAAATTTGAAAGAATCTTTTGTCATCGGCACTGCGTCCATGTGCTAAATTTCAGCTCGATAGGTTGACTGGAAGTGGGTCAAAAAGCAGTCCGAAGATTTTGCCAGTCTGGCACCCAGCAAGCTACGAACAAAAGCGAAGTTAATATGAACGATTTACAAACGTCTCGTTAAGAATCATGTAAATGTCTGAGTTGGCTCTTAAATTTTAGACTGCTAGGTATTTTCTCTACCAGAGAGTGACATACATTTTTGAAAGGCGTCGTTCGAACTAAATACATTTTGATTCTACGCCAAAACGTAGTGGCCAGATACGATGTAGTTCAACGAAGTAGAACGGTCTCATTCACTTTGTTTTCCTACTGTTTTAACACACATGAATATGGAATTATGGTCTGTCAACTTCCCGAGCGAGATCTTCAGCTTGGTTTGCCGTAAAAGATTGTAAGAAGTATGAGCCCAAAATAACACTAGTGAAAGTCCGGCACATTGAATGAACGAATTCGTCTGTCAACAGCGCACAGCTCCAGCCTCCACGTGATCTCAGCAGGGAAAATGATACTATCGGCAGTCGTTGTTGGAGAATGTATCAATAGTTCAATATACCGCACTTTCACTGATGTTTTAAAGTCTACTTAAAATAACCTGATGAAGGTGTACAATCCACAGTCAAACTAATGAAGTGGAGTTGATGTTTCCTTGTAATTGATGACGTAATAACGGATTAACCATCCACTTGATGAAATCCTAGAACCAAACTTAGAAGCTGACAAATAATATTTATTTAATTGAATTGCACCATACATAGTTTCATTTTTGTACATAAAGCTTTACATTTTAATATTAATATACAAGTATCAATGTTCGAACCGAAATCGATTCAGTTGGATTGATATACAAATGTAATAATACACAACAGAAAATATATTTTAAAAAATTCTTTGAAAAAAAAACCACTTTATTTTTAGAATGGAAATGTTATTATTTAAATTATTTAAGAAAGAAGATTTCTCTTTTAACAATTGTTAACAAAATCCCCGTTAAAGTAATAATAATAATAGTAATAATAAAGTTCATGTAAAAAAACACGCTTCATCCCTAATAAAGGCCTGAAGCGCAATGAAATCCAATACGCACCAACACAAAATCGACATACAATCCAATGGACAATACAAGCCAATGGACAATATAAGCCTATGGACAATACAAGCCAATGAACAATACAAGCCAATGGACAATGCAAGCCAATGGACAATACAAGCATATGGACAATACAAGCCAATGGACAATACAAGCCAATGGACAATACAAGCCAATGAACAATGCAAGCCAATGGACAATGCAAGCCAATGGACAATACAAGCCAATGGACAATACAAGCCAATGGACAATACAAGCCAATGGACAATACAAGCCAATGGACAATACAAGCCAATGGACAATGCAAGCCAATGGACAATACAAGCCAATGGACAATACAAGCCAATGGACAATACAAGCCAATGGACAATACAAGCCAATGGACAATACAAGCCAATGGACAATACAAGTACAAATTTGCACACAACTTTATGATTTTGCACACGAACCAACACACCTTAGAGGGAACATTGCCTCCTACCCTTCCCCCTCTCCCCCACCACAAAATCCTATAGTTAGGACCGATGGTTATTGAAAGAAAGAGGGTGTGTTTTGTTTTTAATCGCCTCTTCTCATTTCCCATCACGCACCACCCAGCATACTAGAGCTGCAACTCTGCGTCACCAACTCAGAAGCGAACCAACAGGCATGACCCACTGGACTCCTCGTAGGTCGTGGTACATGTCAGCACGGGGCAGACGCGATGAAGCGTGACCTAGAAGGTCACGTGGGACAACAAAGGTTGATGTTATAACTTGACAGGGTTTGTGTCAAGAACGAAAGCATTATCAAAAAAGGCATTTCTTCTTCACAAAAGCGTAGTACCCTGTCCTTTGAAAAACTAAACCTACATCTACTTCCGGCTAGCAACAAGATTGCGGCCTTTCAAAGTTTTGAATACCGAAATTGTACACAAATCAAGAAGAAACTGTGAAATGATTATCATAATTACAAAATTCAATTTCAGGGAAGTCAAAGTTGTCTTGAGCTTGAGACTACGCCTTACAGGCATGTATAGCATAAAGCTCTGGATCATATTTTAGTTTTATATGTGTTTCTGTTTTCCTTGCGTAGTCGGCCATCTTAGCTGTCATCAAAATCATTGCTCATGAATGCTAATGATGCGCTTGGCGACACACCCCGGCAGATGTATTCACGCGATCGATTATTATCAATTAATGTCAAACGTATACTCTTGACTGCTAATTTGGTGTATCGACTGAAAGAACTCTCCATTGGTCGAGACCTGCCCCGTAAGAGTATCCATAATAGTGGTGGACGGAAAGTTGCCGCACGACGAAAGAAGAAGCGCCTTTATCGAGCAGGTCGTCGGAAACAACGTCCACTGAATTACCACCATGGCAAAAGCAATGTCAACATTATTGGTTGTGGAGATCGTTATGTAAAGCCTTTAAACAAGGCCGTCAGTAACGACGGAAATCAGCCACATACTGTGTCATCCATCGCGACCATTCCCTACGTTTCAATACTAAGAGGACTACCGGTGGCTCATGATTTCACATCGCCTCGACGGGGAGTGACGCGATCAAATTTAATTGTTGTTGACTGCCAGCCTGCTGTGAAGCCGCAGCAATCACGGCATTTCGGAGTGCTATATTTCAACTCCCAGTCCTGCAGGAATAAGACGGCCGAGGTGTGTGATCTTGTCTTGGAGAGCAGGGCCGACCTTGTGTTCATTACCGAGACGTGGTTTAAACGTGTCGGAGATGAGGTGAAGCTTCAAGAAATTACACCTCCGGACTACGTCCTTCACTCCTGCCCACGGCAGTCGTGCAGTGGTGGTGGTATTGCCGTCCTTTACAGGAACTCCCTTAAAAACAGTGTAATGAGGCCGTCAGTAACGAAGGAAATCAGCCACATACTGTGTCATCCATCGCGACCATTCCCTACGTTTCAATACTAAGAGGACTACCGGTGGCTCATGATT